TGGTGGCATCCTTCCTCCTGAATTAGGAGCATTCTGCATGGCAGGAGACATCTCCCTGTTCTGATAGGGCTGCTGCATATTCTCCCTTCTTCTTTCATAGTTTCTCGATCTATCATAATTGCGAGGTCTATCATTACGGCGGTTCCTTTCATTTGCTCTAGCATTGTTCCTTACCCATTCCTCATGATACTTCGGATCATATGGAACTGCTTGCCCATTGATGAAAGGTTCTCCTGAAAATTGATAATTTATTAGAAGTGCTAATAAATATTGATTTATTAAAGCAGTAGGGCATGCCAATTATCATTTGTTTCAATTTGCAAAAAAATTTTGGACTCCACTCAGTATTCACAATAACTAGATATTGTTAATTAACAAGTTTTCAGATATTTGCAAGTCACAGTTAAACTCGTCAAAAATTAAAAGGGATATAGAACAAGCTCAAATGGTATTAGAAAAATGTATATCCACCTCCATAATCCTTATTCTTCACATCCAAGTAGGAATCAGGAAGAACCCACCGAACTCCTTCAAGTTCTGCATGCAAAATAAACTTTATGAGAACATCCATAAAAACATTAAAAGAGACAAGAAAATTTGAGAACTTAAGAGGACATGCACCTTTGATCTTATATGAGACCTCTTCAGACACAAGAGCTCCAAATGCATAGTAGTGCCTGGTAGAAACTGAATATATCTTCATTCTTGCTTCCTCCTCACTGTGTACAAGATATACATAAACAAATCATATACAAAGTAATGTACGTATTTCCAATTCCAAATATCATTCTCCTAGGGATGAATAAAAAACAAATATCTGTAGAAAATCATTGCTAAAAATAATGAAATCCCAATGTTGAGATGATATAAGTTTAAACCACCATACTTCTAAAATGGCCCTCTTGCAGCAATTAATAATCTAACAGGCTACAGTTCATACATAACAGAGATAAGAGCCCTTGTAAAATAAGCATCATATTTTAAAAGAAAGCACCACAACTAC